TAATAATGTGCAATATTTTTTTGTTATATGGATACTGGTAAGGTTTTTGGCAGTTTTCCTTACTCAAGCAACAAATGTTGGTATCCAATGAGATTTCTGCCTAATAAATAACTTTTTTAAACGCAATTTTGTTTATTTGTAAAGTGATTTTACCTATATTCTTTTTCTTTATTTTTATACACTGTATATTATTGTATATTTTATATTTGTAATATAATAAGATAATAGTAATAAATTCAATTATATTAGTAATAACTAACTTTATGTAAATATATATTTTGTATTATAAACGTGTGTCACCTTTATATTTACATTTTTTTAAAAATTTTAAATGAAATAATCGGTTCCAGTGACAGTACCCCATATTACTTGTTTTAGATACTTTTGTGACGTTATAAACGCCGCGCATGCGCGTACAGCCTCTCCAATATCGGAACACTGGGCTAGAGGTATTCTTTTTCCTGTCAACGTAAAAAAAGAGGAAGACAGTTGACACGGTGCACATATACAAAGTAGTTTTGCAACTCAAAGATTGATTGTACATTATATCCTTTTTTTTTTTAAAGAATCTTAGGATTATTGTGCACTGAACAATGGTATGTATAAAAGTTTCTTATTTCTGCGTAACTTTGAGTAACCGCCTATGTGTCATATATATTTTTAAGGCACAAGAAGTCGAAGAAACTATGAAACGAATTCAATCTCATAAGGGAGTGGTTGGAACAATAGTAGTAAATGCCGAAGGTGTTACATGAAAAAATAAAAAATAAAAAAAACATTAATTTGTTACCAAGTTTGCCGGTAGTAAAACCAAAAGTTTCCATGATGTTTGACGCTTTCATTGTTTTTAGGTATTCCAATTAAATCAACGTTAGACAACACAACTACGGTACAATATGCGGGCTTAATAAGTCAGTTGTCAGACAAAGCCCGTTCTGTTGTACGTGATTTGGATCCGACTAATGATTTAACCTTTTTACGCATACGTAGCAAAAAGCACGAAATTATGGTTGCGCCAGATAAGGAGTTTATACTGATAGTAATTCAAAATCCAGTCGATTGATGTTTGAAACAAGTGTTTTACAAAAATAAGATATTATATTCCTTATTAACTTATTCTCTATGTATTGCATTTGATTCTTAATATTCCATTAAGTATCATAGAATAAAACTCATATGTGTAACACACATTTATAGCTTTTTTAAGCTAAAATAGAGAAAAATTGCAAACTTTAAGAGTTTTAAAATTGTGTTCTACTTTATTCAACAAATATTTTCAGCATTCTTTTGTGTTGGAAGTAAAACAGATGTTACATCAATGTTTCAAAATATATTTTGCTATTAGTCAGAGCATCGATGTTACATGTGGTACATCTGATTATAGTTCACAGTATATTATCATATAATAATTTATTTAAGTATATAAAATTATTAAATTTATATAATTATATTTAAATTACATATTATTTATTATTTTAAAAATTGAGCTTGCATGAAAAATAAGTATCAAAACTTATATTTTAAAAAGACTTTCTAGAATTGCTAGATTTGTTAGATATACTCTAACTATATGGAAATGCATTGTGTAAATTGTGTACAACTTATCAGTCATTTGAAAATTTGAACTGAGAGTGGAGATGTCAATGTCTTTATACATATATAGAGTTGCACTTTTCAGTGTTTAAAATATTATTCAGACATTTTTGGTGCAACTTTATGTGTAAAGGCATTAACATTTTTGCTTGTACATGTATAAAAATAGTAAAAGTCCTCTGTGTGTAATGTATATCATATATATAATCTCTGGTATATATCATATATAATATAAATATCAAAAAGTCTTATAAATTGTATGTGTATTATATACAGAGTTTGTCAAAAATATCGACAAATAATTTGTCCGATACACCCTGTATATAAAATTTATAAAAAATACAATTGGATGAGATTAAATGAGAACACAAAATTTGTTCTTTAGGCAGTAAGTAGAAAAGAGGTACAGATAAGTTACATTGTTTGAAGTGGCACGTTTTGAGAGCGTCTCCATTTGGGAGGATGAAATACTATATAGTACAATATTATTGATACTATTCCCGTGACAAAAGAGACAAGACAAACAATGGGAATCACATCAAAATACCAAGCATTTTTAACTTCTTCAGAAGAAGAAATCTTCAAATCTCCAAGCTTTCTCAGATGAAGAAGTCTCCATAACACCACAGCTGCAACATTCTCCAAAGTGCAAAGTGTATAAAAAATTAAGTGTTTCCAGAAAGTATTGCCAGCTACAACATTTAAATATATAAAGGTGTGTACAATGCCGATAATTGCGGCAAATAATACGGAACGAATTCGTTCTTTGATCGTCGGCGGTACGTGCGGCGGGCGATTACAACTCCGACAAAACTCGACTAATCCGTGAGAATCGATCAAAATCCATATCGTCACAATCATCCAATGTATCACGCAACATATTACGGTATATAATGGCCAGACGCTCGCAATAACACTGATTGATAAGATTCTTGTCACTGTAATCATGGTTTTAATCTATGAAGTTCTTTCACCTTTCATTTGCATTAAAGCATTACTTTACACAAGTTATTATAATAAATATTAATTATAGCATATCTCAATTTTATATATATATGATTTGTATTAAAATTAGATATATACCTGTAATGAAAAAGTGCGAAAAAAATTGAAAAGCACTTCCTAATAGATCAATATTGTACTTCTCATCTTGAGCTAATCTGATACTACGGTGATAACTAGCCATCACCCAACCCATGCTCACAAGTGAGCTGACAACACTACCTACTTGATGCACAACTAGAAATATGGAAATAAATTTCTATACTAAGTAATATATTCATATACTTAACTTATGTTATACAAAATATATTTAAACAAATTAAATAGAGTTAGATCATTTTTTAATTTGGAATAGAATTTATAAGTACATTCGTAATTGACTTCATTGTGGTAGTATTTTAGCATCAAGCTCAGCTGTAAGATCTGTTGGGGTGCAGCTTCCAGAAAACATTCAAATACTCTTAGTAAAGCAACGTCCTGATCTTCTTTAAGCATCTTTAAATAATATTGTCTTTGACCAACACGATCATTGGATTTCTCACATTTGCGTGATTTCAGAGCGTATATCAAAGTTTCCCAGTAATGTAGAACAGGTGCTAATTGTAATATAACAGCAATACCGCAATATATTTTATTTTTAATCATTAAATGTAATGTTTTACGATCATCTTCTTCATCTGCATCAAAACCTCTCTACAATATCAAGGAACATATTCTAATTAGACAAAAAAAAAAAAGAAACGTGCTCTTCAAGAGAAAACATTGTTTGGATATTTTAATATTAGACTACTTCACTTTATCTTGATGCTGCATTCTTTTACTGATGATAACGTTTATCAGAGAAGGAATGAGAATCAGACACATCGTCCAAACAAAATATATGGTTTTGCCACGAAAAAGATATTGAAATGCAACGTTGTAATCGAAACCCATGTCCACAATATGCGTAAATATCGAAGATCCCAAAAGAAAGATGTCAAAATTGGAGATGTGAAGATTGTTCGCCGGCCGGTCCACGACATCAACGTCAAAATGAGCGTGTAAAAATATGCTGGCAAAACGGCGAAAATGATGATTGTGATACTTTTCCTTGGTGTCTTCCATGATCTTCTATTACTCGCGTCGCGATACAAACAGGTATATTTAACTACAATATTGCTAAATTGCTACAACAGTACAATATTCTACACTACTCTAAAAATTATTTACATTACAATTCAAACATTGTTTTTCTATCTAAATCACCATAGTATTCACACCGTTCTTCAAAACACGGACGTTCTTCAAAAACGCTTTCAAAAGACTAAATGTGTGTTGGAAGATTTACACATACACAGGAAGATTCTGGGACTATAATTGCGCCAACAGAAATTTGTACGCATGCGTACAGAATAGTACAGAGAAATGTTAAAGCCTCCTTGCACAATGCGAGGAAATAGCGATAGGCGATAGACACAGGGCCGGTTGTTCCGGTTCTTCTGATAAATCTCAGCTTGCTCGATTAGGTTATTATCTATAGGATACGAACCTGACTAATGCTCAATTTCTTCATCTCTAGATAAGATTTCGATAACTTTATCTAAAAGATAAAATATATATGTTTGTGTGTCATTATCCAGAGGACAGCTATTGTTAGAGGTATGAAAAAATCGGCAGTAGCGCATCTCCTACTGTTTTTCATTTCTACATATTTATCTGTTAGATACGACTTACAGGATACCGAGAGTGCCGTGTAATTTATCTTTTGATTTCTGATTATTTACCAGATATATAAATTTTATCGATACGTGGAACAACGCAAATTAGAGTTTTAACCATTAGATAGATTACTCCGATACTTTATCTGAAAGTGGAGCAACCGGCCCACCAGAATTCCAACTCGTCGGAAATTTTACCGCTATTGCCTATTCCGTTTTCTGATTTGCATTGATATATGTGTATTTTTGAATGTTAGATTCCGCTATGCTTACCGTTATTTATATATATATATAAAACCGGTTTTATTTCTATCGCTATCGCTTATTCTTTTCATTGTGCAAGGGACTTAAAACTGTTCAAAGCATTATTCACACCAGTTTCAGCTTGATCAATCGATCGACGAATCAATTACAATTGACCAATGCGATAGATCAATTCTGATAGAATACAAACGTTCGATGTATTTAATCGAAATTTGAAATTTTGAACTGATTCCAACATATTCGGAGCAATTTCAAATTGACTTTTCTACATATGCTGGAAGAGGAATACAACGTCGTTGTTCTCAAAATATTTCAAATTGTTTCTTTCTTTTTTTTTTATGGTTTGCTGGAAAACCATAAAAGAAAGGAAAGTAATTCGAAATATATGCATCTTTTGATCTTTCAGCGCTATAAAGCAATACGTTCATTTTGTAATTCGAACATCTCAACAAAGAGGACGCCGACAAACCTCCGAGGGAATTTTAAACATAAGTAGGTTTGTCTAGTTTGCTTTCATGTTATCAACACTGACGTTTCGATGCGGGAGTCTTCGCTCAGCGTCACTGCCGTCAGTGGACTCAGTGACTGTCACGGAGCACGGAGTGTCTTCGATCGCATCATTCGCGCCTACTGCAACTGCCACGTATATACGGTCGAAAATCCGTAGCCGCGATCATGTCATCGAGCAACGAGAACACCGTGTCTCCGCCAAATAAGAAATTGATGACGGTACGTAATTGACGACGGTATTACACGCTTTTTTCATCGTGCACACGATAAAAATTTAAAATAAAAAAATACACACGTATGAGTGTTGTAAAATTGTTCGCAGAGAAAAAGATGTATTTATAAATCATTTTTAAATAAATTTGGAACTTTGGGAGATACGTGTGTGATTCATTAGTTATCTAAAAATAAATTTATTTAACAGACACTCTATAATCAAAGTTCTTACAACTAACTTACGTTTGAGTTAAAAAAAAAAAAAGATTTTCTCGACTTGTTAATGTAAAAGCAATAAAACAATTCTTTTTAGACCTGTACAAATGTATCGAAACAAGCGCATCACGTATCCAGAGCGAAACGGGGCCAAGCGATCGGCACTATTCGAGGCTTTAGAGGTTGCACCGTATGGCTAACTGGACTCTCAGGTGCCGGCAAGACCTCCATCTCATTCCAGGTCGAGGCTATCTTGGTGAATCACGGTATTCCCGCATACGGTCTAGACGGCGACAACGTTCGGAGCGGTCTAAACCGTAATCTGACTTTTAGCAAGCAGGACAGAAAAGAGAACATCAGAAGAGTAGCCGAGGTGGCAAAACTCTTTGCCGATAGCGGGCAGATTTGTCTCTGTAGCTTCGTATCTCCTTTTGAGGAAGACAGACAGATGGCAAGACAGATTCACAAAGAGGCCGATTTGCCTTTCTTCGAGGTGTTCGTAGATACGCCGCTGAAGATTTGTGAAGCTCGCGACACCAAGGGTTTGTACAAAAAAGCTCGGCAGGGTGCTATCAAAGGCTTCACCGGCATCGATCAGATGTACGAAAGGCCGACGAACCCCGATCTGATTGTCAAAACCGAAAATTGCACCCTTGAGGAGTCGGCTTCGGCTGTGCTCGAATTTTTAGAAGAACATCGCATCATTCCGCAGCTTGAAAAATCGTCAAATCTGGTTCGAGAACTCTTTGTACCAGATTCCAGACTGGCTTCCGCGAAAGCGGAAGCGGAAACTCTGCAAACTGTGGAGATCAGTGAGCTTGATGTTCAATGGGTGCAGGTTTTGGCAGAGGGTTGGGCGGCACCGCTAACAGGGTTTATGAGGGAGCATCAGTATCTCCAGGTATACATCAGCGCGTAATTATACTCTACGATACATTCCGTTATGATTTGATTTCGTTTAAGGCTCAGCATCTGCGATGTCTGATCGAAGATGGTAAAGAGATAAACCAATCGGTGCCAATCGTTCTTGCGATAAGCACAGTTGATAAAAATCGCCTGGAAGGTTCCTTCGCCGTGACCTTGAAACACAAAAGCAAAGCTCTGGCTATTCTGCGAAGACCGGAATTTTATTTTCACCGAAAAGAGGAGCGTTGTAGTTGGCAGTTTGGCACTAACAATTTGGGACATCCTTACGTCAGAATGATTCATAATTCTGGAGATTGGCTAATGGGTGGCGATCTTGAAGTACTTGAGAGAATCAGGTGGCACGACGGGCTCGACAAGTACAGACTCACTCCGAACGAGATCCGCGCGAAATGCCGAAAGATGAAAGCCGACGCTGTGTTCGCCTTTCAGCTAAGAAATCCTATTCACAACGGACATGCGTTGCTTATGCAGGTATTTTACTTAAGATACACATATTTATGTGATAAATACTTTCCCCCTCACACAGAACAAGAACTCCATTAGATGTCCATTAGACGTCAACAGCTCCATGCGATATCTAATAGATTTCTAATGGAGTGTTTGCTCTATATGGATATACTTAAAATTATACATAGTTTTGAAATTCGATATATTTGAGAATATAATGATATATTTACGTAATTCTCATATTTTTGATAAAGGACACGAAAAAGCGATTGCTTGAGGAACGTGGTTTCAAGAATCCAGTGCTGTTACTGCATCCTCTGGGTGGTTGGACGAAGGATGACGATATACCACTACATACTAGAATCCTTCAACATAAGGCTGTTCTAGAAGAAAATGTTTTAGATAGCAATTCTACACTGCTGGCCATCTTTCCCAGTCCGATGATGTACGCCGGACCAGTCGAGGTGAAACAAGAACTTTCTTAATAATGTTATTTTCTACTAATCTTATATTAGCTTTATAGTCTTTTTTTTATCAGTTTTAATCTTGCGCTGGTTTTATTTTTACATTTTTACGGACTTATATTACATATTGAGTCGTTCGGAAAGTCATTTCGTTTTTTTCACGAGTGTCGTTAGTTGTATTTTTAACCAGCCAACTTCACTCTAAACCATATTGTCATTATATATTTTGACAGCTAACATTTCAAGGTTTATTTTTAAACAACATTTTAAAAATTAAATAAAATATTTATGTACTATAAAAACTTGTTCATTTTTCTGAAAAAAAATGAAATGACTTTCCAAACAATCAATAGTTTCCTTCTAAGCAATAAGAAAAATTATCGTGTTTCTTATCTTTGTAAAATATATAAATATATAAATATATAAATATATAAATATATAAATATATACACATATATAAATAGGAAAATTAGGAAAATTATCGTGTTTCTTATCTTTGTAAAATATATAAATATATAAATATATAAATATATAAAAGTATAGATAAATATATAAGAGAGGATAAAAAAGATAGATAAAATAAATGAACCTTCTAACAATGAATGCATAGGTACAATGGCATGCGAAAGCTAGAATGAACGCTGGTGCCAATTTCTATATAGTAGGCAGAGATCCTGCGGGTATTCCGCATCCTAACAAAGACGCCACGCCTGACGGCAATCTATACGATCCTAATCATGGAGCCAGAGTACTTTCTATGGCTCGAGGTCTTCATAATCTCGAAATAATTCCCTTTAAAGTTGCCGCTTATGACACGCGGAATGGCAAAATGGCATTCTTCGAGCCCGAGCGGAAACAAGACTTCGAATTCATCTCGGGAACAAAAATGCGAGGTAAGAAACTGATCACAAAACATTAGTAATGCGTAAAGTTCAGTAATATTGCATACGAACAAAACGAAACTAGTACTTGAGTGGATACTTGCAGGATTAGCGAAGAGGGGTGAAAATCTTCCCGATGGCTTTATGGCACCTAAAGCTTGGCAAGTGCTTGTGCAATATTACCAAAATTCAGAAAACAAATAAGCTTCTTCTCTTCTATCTTTTTCCTCTATTTCTCTACTCCTTTTTATGTGGGTTTTATGTGGGTAAAATTTCGTATCTACAAGAAAAAACCAAAATCTTTGGTTTGTTTTCATGTATAAAAGATGGTACGAGAGGAACTATTAATCTTTATGTTAAACGACGATCCACGTACGAATATCGTGGTCGAATTAAAGAAAGAAATGAAAGAGATACAGATTAGTCTATTAACACAAATCTATTGAAATTTTAAAATAAAAAATTTTAATACATTCCTTGAGAATCCCAGAATTTTCCAAACAAGAGTGGATATTTTAAAGAAAAAAGCTAAGAGCAATAATGAAGATTGTTCTTTTTTATCTCTGACTAAAACACTATCGTTATTGATATAAATCTTATTTTAAAACTATGCCTGTAATGTGAGTTCCATACAGCACAGATTCTTTTGAGTTACAGAATTACTTCTTATATTACGGAAATATTACAATATATTGTAAAGTACAATGCAGGAACATTGTAGAAACTTTGAATTGAAAAGTCCGGTAAGACTGAAGCAAATGCGCTGCGACAGAGCGTTCTAAAAGTGTAAATTGTATATATTCAACAATACAATTATCGAAAAATGCAATGTCTCGTATTAATATGCTAGATGCGATATTTGTTTTTATGTATTTTGTAGAAGACGACATTTACAAGAAGAAGAAAGAAAACAAAAAGACATAACTATTTGTTTTTCCTAAAATTAAGTATCCGCAAGTTTAACTATGTAATTAGACACGCGTTTATATTATATAATAATATATATATATATATATATTATATAATTATATGTATGTGATATAGTATGATATGAAATATCAATAATATTGTGTGCTATTTTTATATATAACAACATTAGCATTATTGAAATTCTGTTATATATTACATCAAATTTTACAGACTGACATTTTCACGTTATTGTAAACTATGTGCAATATTATAATATTGTACACACGCTGTACATCTCGTAATATTCCAACTGTATTTTTCTACAATGTTTGTGCAAACTCTGTGCCGTACGGAATGTATTTTACGGATTGTATTTTTTATATATATAATATGCATATATGCGTGCATATACACGTGTATAAAATATGAGTTTATTTTGTACAAATGTAAAGCACATAAACAGAGTCTGATATTTTCTTTATATGAATTATAATAAATGTGTACATAAAGCATACATAAAGCATATAATATGTATACTTTATGTGTATACTTGTATAATGTATACACATACATATAGTATATATACATTATATATACATAATATGTATATAAAGTATATATATATACATAAATATAAAATATGTAATTCATATGTGCACACACAAAGAAACATTCTACACATGGTTCAAGTTTGTATGAGCAGAACATAAAAATTTGTTATATATATTTTCAAAAGGCACATAAAATGTATCTGTACATTAATTTGATTTTAATAATGAAGTCTTCGAAAATTTATAAACTCATTACTGTTTCATTTAACCCTTTTTATGTATGTGAATACACATTGACGATTTTAAAATTGTGTGTGTGTATTTGTGCTTCTTTTCTATGTGTGATGCGAAAATTAAAAACAATTATTTAAAAACGAATATAAGATGCATAATTAATCTGAAAAAATTGAAAAAGAGGATTGGTCGCGTTCAGCAGAATTGTGAGCGCTAGTAAGCGCTTCATCATATAGTTACAGATTTGTCATAGACCAATTGCGAGAACAATAAGCACAAAGCATTAAATTCTGCTAAACGATATCTATTTTATACATTATGTCTATTTTATACATTGTTATCGTCTTATTAAGTCTAACACATAGATGCAGTTTGTGCCCCTTATTTATTTCATCTATATTTCTTTTCTAAAATATACATAAATATATATAATATAGTTAAAAGAAAAAGTATAGTTGGCGTTATAAATGACTTAATATGTACAGTCATGGTGTGTAAGTATATAATATCCTATATTACACCACGCATAAATTATTGTTAATTATTATTAATTGTGTATTTAAATATAAAGCCTTATTATTATTATTGAGGGCACAATATATGATATTTAGATACACATGCTAATTATCGTTTCACCTAAAAATGTACAAAACTATATTTTTTAGTTAAATTCATTTTTCATGTATTCGTGACTTGTTATTTTAATCAGAGTGTCTACTTGAAAAAAAAGAGAGATACATATGTGTACGTTTGTTTTGTTACGATTCAGGTACTTTCGTTTCATTAATTTTCAAGCAATATGTAAATCAATCTTTAAAATACATGCTTATTTATATAAATAAACCTCTTTAAAAGAAATACTTTATTCAAAAAGAATAAGAAAAATTTACTTATA